TCAATGTTTGCAGATGACACAAAACTCTGTAAATTAATACAATTTGAGAGGGATATTATTTCACTGCAGAGGGATTTAAATTGATTAGGGGACTGGGCATTCAAATGGCAGATGACATTTATAGTAGATAAATGCAAAAATTATACACTTTGGGGTAAATAATGCACAAGTGACTTACATGCTAAACGGTAGTGAATTGGATTTAGCAACACATAAGAAGGATTTAGGAATTGCTATAGACAACAGACTAAGCAACATTTTCAAAGTCAACCAACATTGCTTAGGCCAATATTGACATGCATAAAAAAAGGATATTAATTCGCTGTTTGAAAATATCACTTTGTCTTTTTATAAATCACTGGTAACACCACACCTTGAATATGCCGTGCAAATTTTGGCACCTGTTCTAAATAAAGATATTATGGCAATGGAAAAAGTGCTGAGGAGGGCTAGAAAATTAATAAGAGGTATGGTAAATTAAAGTTGTGAAGGCTAACAAAGCTAAAAATGTTTAGTTTGTAAAAACGACACCTCAGAGTGTATATGATAGCATTATACAAATATATCTGGGGCCAGGACAGACCATTGTATGGAAATCTAGCCATTAACAGGACTATAGAGGGAAGGGGAGAGGTTATTTACAGTAATAACAATAAGGATGTCTAAATGAATTCTTGCAAAAAACATAATATTCAGGGATAGAATTTTTGATATGTGTGTAACAGCTTATTGATTCAAGTAGAGATCTGGCTGCCATTCTGAGGTCGAGAGGGAATGTCTTGTTAGTTTGTTGCAAAATTGATAAACGCTTTAAACTGGGGGTTTCGACCGCTTTTGGATCAAACTAATGTAAACTAATGTTCTCAAAACAAAATTACTAAACTGACACTGTGTACAGAAAATGCCCATAATAAGCAAAATCATGTCCTCTATTTTGTATTTTGTTTTTTATTGGTGCCCTTTGGTAGAGGTCTAATATATTCAGATAACGTGTATTGATAAAATACTACAAATCTATTCTGGTATTGTAAACCTGTCACCGTTCATATCTGCTTCGAAGCACATAATTATTGTGGCATTATAAACCTTTGAACTGTAATAAATATGATAGATTAATGTGCATCAAGAGAAAGAAATAGAAAAAAAAGAAATATGGAAAAATACAAATAGTAGTAAGAGATACTCAGTACTGTTTAACTAAGTGTATTGTTATCCTAATAGTGTGTTACTGAGATTACATTCTCCAATTTTAAACATAATGTATGCACAGAATTCACATTAGGCATTCCGGAACAGAGTTCTGGACTGCCAATGTCACTTGTGCTAGGGGTGCAACTTGCCACAGCACACGATTAAAAATATCTCTACAATTAAAAGTAACTCAAATCACTGAAGTGGTTATGGTGGTTGGAGTATTCCTTTAACTTTGTGTAATGATTTTCTATCTAAATACCTTTTCAAAACCTCTTGTTCTTAAACAATGCTCTTCTACATCTATTCCAGGAACTATACTACAATTCCAAAACTAAGCCGTGCTATGTATACTCTCCCAGTGAGTAGGACAAACAGCAGTAACCCTTGGAAATCCTTCCACTTTGTATTTAAGGCAGTTTTACATAATTGGGTTGTACTGCATGACCCATGTGTCTATAAACATAGTCTTTACTTATTATGTCCTCCTCTTCTACGTTCAGCAGTTCAGCTCAGGCATTACTGTCAGCTATGTACATATATTTCTAAGGGAGTCATTATTTTTACAATGGGCAGGAGGCATTTCTAAGGTGGTAAGCTTCTGGTGTAGAATTCTGCAATTGTTTATTTGCAAAACAAAATAAAATAGGTAAAATGTAAAGATTTGAGCATGTAAAATATATAGCATATTCACGAGGCCATACCCTATCAAATGAATTAAAGTTGCATTGGTGCCCTGAGTGTCTATTCAAATGTTTGAAGAAAAACAAACAAAATATAGGAGAACGCTTAGAATGACCTAATAGCTTGACATTCTCTTAGTGGTCATTTAGGTCTCAAACAAGTTTTTGGTCACATGTACCATTACAGGGGGTAGTCCAATCATAAAGGCAAAATACGGACAACGGCAAGAGGGCCGTAGGTTGGCAGCTAAATAACACCAATTGATACAAAATAAATGATAATGTGAATAAATGAAAAAAAACATGTATTTTTTTTTTCAACCTCACTATATAGAATGACCTGTCTATGGTAGAAACATCAGTATCACTCATTAATTCTATATAAATTCTACAGTAGAATCTTTTGTCGATTTTACGTTTCGACTTGATCCATTGTATCCAGGAATCATTGACGATTGCATATTGCTTTTAAAAAAAGCAGTAATATTTATTGAGTTTACATGTATCATCAGCTACAATGTTATATACTTATCATAATCCTTTAAATCTACTCAGACATTGACCTTTCTCTTGGTCTATCAAATTTACAGTAGGTTCTACTTATTAATCAGTTAGATATGATCTGTCTCCTTATAAGGTACAAAGATGAGAAGAAGCACAGAAAACGCCGTCCAGACACAGCACAGAGATCAAAGTTATTACTTCACAAACAAATCTATCAGATTGATAACGGAGCAAAACGGACAAAGTACAAAGAAAAAAACGCTCCGACGTGAACAGCCCTTACTGAGATCATCACAATTGAGGATATCTGGTCCTATCCAATCCTTCTCATAGACAATTTTTGGGGACCTTCAGCACATGTGCAGCAATCAACCTGCACTGCCAATCAAATGCTTCTCCTAGAGAAGTATTTGTTTCAGTACTTCTCGTCCACCTTGCCTTCAAAATAAAATGCTTTAGGAAACTGGACTTTTTTAAAAAATAATTCATAGGACAAATTTATAGTAACAATCTTAAGAAGGAAATTAATTTATATCCTGCTATATTTTATGTAGATTGATGTCTGCATTCGTGGGGTGACCTACTATGAGATATGACTGCAGAAATTAACCAATAACAGAACTATGACATTCCAGGATTTTTAATGTTATACATACTTATCCTCTATAGTTAAGGTCTGACAAATAAAATTAAATGTAGAAATTCACACTGCTATTTTTGCACTACTGTGTTATTATTGTCGGAAGCTGTATTATTTGCACCTCCCAACAATTATAGAGAGAGCCTAGAGCCAGAGGAAAAACAGAAACAATCGGGACTCCATATCTAAAATGTTGTGCTCTGAAAAGTGGTCTAAAGTACTAAAAAAAAATGGGGCAATCGCCATGGAAACCAGTGGAACCAGCAGGCACATTACATGAGTGATTCCGCATCTGAACTGGACCATGGGGCAATCGAAGTAGGTAGCCAGTTCTAATAAAACATGTTTTCTTTCACATCAGGTGGATGGCAGGAGGATGAACTATGGGAAGAAGGAAGGCCAGCAGAGGCAGTGGTATGCACTGGGCAATGCTCTGCTAGTATACCTTGGAACCTAGCATGAATGTGGATCTTACTCTGACATGTACCACCTACACAGAGATTGTTTCAGACCACACACACACCCTACATGGCAATGGTGTTCCCTGGTGGCATTGGCCTCTTTCAGCAGGATAATGCACCCTGTCACACTGCAAATACATTCCAGGAATGGTTTGAGGAACATGACAAATAGTTCAATGTGTTGCCTTGGCCTTCAAATTCCCCAGATCACAATCCAATTAAACATCTGTGGAATGAACTGGAACAACAAATCCAATTAATGGATTCCCCAACTCACAAAATGTAAATAATCTACTGCTAATATTTTGGTTCCAGATACCACAGGACATGTTCATTTTTCTTGTGGAGTCCATGCCTCAAGGCATCAGAGCTACTTTAGTAGCATGAGGGGGACTTACATGATATTAGGCAGGTGGTATTAATGTTGTGGTTAATCAGTCTGACTGTTGTTCATGGTAAATGTTAGGTACAAAGAAAGAGAACAAGAAGCCCTGACCCAAAGGTAGTAGTCAACAGAAGGTTAACACTTAATTTAAAAAAAAAATTGGGATAAAAGGTAAATAGCAAAAATGCTCTGTGTAAGTGAAAATAAGTAAAGATTGATTCTGTACAAAATGAAAATAAACCAATTAAATTAAAAAAGTTGAAAACAAAGGTATATGTAAATCTTGGTATAAGTAAAAAAAGTATATACAAATTCTGCTATGTATAATTCTAATGTCAGATAGGGGCAATACAGCCTGAGATGCTGTGCCATATCAGAAAACAGTGCTGTGCTTAAAAATAAGCAAAATTGAACTATCGCTTAGCAGCAAGAGTAGAAATAGGCTTTGCACCTCGGCCAGTAAATAATAGAAAAGAGAGGGATAGTCCAACTGTCTCAAACTTCCGAATGGTATGATGAATGCATGATAACAGTGTGTTGAAATAACTAGATACAGGTCAAAGCTGAGACACAACACGTTTTTTGCCGGCCAGTCGGTTCTTCAGGGGAAAAGAGCATCTGGAGGGAAATGTTTAAATATGCAGCTTCTCCAAGCTATTGTTGAGTGGTGGTGCCCCATAAGTGGACACCATCGGTGACTAAGTGCGTCAACAGTCTATAAGGATACTATTGGAGTCGTAATTGGCCAATACTCGCAAGTAGGAGTGGACTCTGGGGGGTATGCGATATGTCAGGGGGGGAAGGGGAAAAGAATACCGATAATAGTGTTAAGTAAGAGTATGATCCAAGGGGTATCGCACCTATAGGTTGGGAGTGTCTACAGGTAAATGCTACAATCTGACTACCACAACCCGAGCCACTGGGTGAGGTAAACAGTCAGTACAACTAGATATCAATGTTAGACCTATGTACAAAAAGGAATATTTTGTAAATGTAGATACTTCGGGTTATGCCCTTTTCTGCTATCTGACCTTCATACCAAAGTGCTCCCAAACTTGTTTTCTTGATAAATGTTAATGTTTAAGCACAGCTATAAAAACAATCGCTTTACCTCTCACCAGATGTGGAGATAAATGGTATAAGTTAAAAGTTTGTGATATAAGCAACACGGCATATTCTCTCTCTTGCTCATTCTTAATTTTTCAAGCTTTTGAGAAGTATTCAAGATGGACTTCAATGGAACTTATAATCTTGAGACCCAAGAAAACTTTGTTCCTTTTATGAGAGCCATTGGTAAGTTATGCTTACACCATATGTTATGTTAGATGATGTCTGTAAGCAGAGCTTTGAAAAGCGCAAGAATGATAATGCAAATTAAGTTTAGATCTCGAGAAACGCTGCACAAGCAAACATAGATAAGTAAGATTTCCATTACAATGAATCAATCCATATGGGACATTGAACAAGAATGATTACGAAACTGAGATCATATTCAATTTTAAAAAAAATGAAGATCACAAATAAACCAAGCAAAGTCTGGGGATTTGTATATACTGTATATTTAAATGAATGAAACATTAGGTATAGCATTATATATTTAATTGTTCAATTGTTTGAATGTATGCATATGAATTTAAATGTTTCCAAGTCAAGTAACTCAAACCAAAAAAAAAAAGACATGGACCAAAAAAAAAAACAAACAAGATAGATCAACATTTATAAACAAGAAAAAATAAATAAAGGAGCGATAAACGAAGAATTCAAACAGTGTATCATAAATACAGAAATTTGGCATGTTCAATTCTAACAAATAAAAAAATTAAAACTAATCAAAGGAGCACATTCATTTCAAAGGATTTAATAGGGGAATCAATAAAACCAGCTGTTCACAGAGTATAAAATGCCTTCAGAAGAAAAACACACACAAAACACTATGCATTCCATATGCAGACTACCTCGGGGACTTCTAAATACTGTGCTCCTAATCCTTAGTTGACTCTAATTTTCATGGTAAAAAAGTATCAGTTTTTGTCTTGAAGTGAATTCATTGCGCTTACAAGGGCTTTCCCCTCTAACTATGCCTTCCACTGTCTCACAGTGTGTTTATTACATGACGATTTTCCGTCTTTCACATATTTTTTCTTATATCTTTTTTTGAAAAACTGTAATTTGTTGTGTTGGTACCTTATGAGTTTTTTGGGGCCTCTTTTGGGGTTGAAGCAAAGAAGATTGAAAAAGGAAGAAGAGATCTGGTGGTAAGTATAATTTTAGTTTTTACAGGTATTAGACTTCATTGGCTCCCCATCACTATTAAAATAAGCCGATTAGCAGCATTTTTTTTATTTATTTTTGCTGGATGGCTATCCCAATTACCTGGGGAAGGGATGGAATTTTATTTATAGCCCCAGTCATGAAGAAAAGGCCAAACAATGGGCCATGCACATGTATCTGCATTTTTGTTCTCAAGCAGCTGACTTGTGATTTGAAGTGGTCATGGTGGTAGGAGTCAGTATTAGCTTGAAGCGCTGCACATTCAGAGATATTTGTAATTGTGTGCTGGGGGTTAGTTGCACCCCCAGCACACATGCCATAGGCAGCCCCTAACTCTGTTCTGTCTGTTCTGAGCTGCCAGTGGCAATTTTGTGCATAACATTTTGATAATCTTACACTTGAAGGCAGAGCGCAAAATACCTCCTTCCATTTCACTCCATTCCATCACAGGCCCAGAATGCCAGCATGCCCTCCGAGTTGGCAAAATGGATCAATCACATGCTTCTCTATGTGAAGCCTTTGATTGGACTGAGCTCGGCCTCTGTGATGTTGGAGGGGTCACAGACGGTCAGCATCAGGATCTTCGCCCGGTGCTGGATTGCAGGTAAGTAAAATCTCTACTTACCAGGATTTACTGCAAATCAAGATGGGGACCTTCTCTATAGTGCCCAATAGAGCATTTTGCACCGCAATGCCCTCCCCTCCCCCTCCTCAAAATAATTAGAGTAACCCTTTAATTACAGCCAAAATTCTGACAAAAATTTAATCGACTGAAAAAAGACGATATTTATCGTCCGTTTTCCATCAATAGAACTAAACCAAAGCCGAACTTAATTCCCTTTGAATTCCCAACAATCCAACTTTTTTGTGGATAACATTCAATATTTTGTTTTAGATTTATCCAGGAATGGCTCGTGAGAGTGTCACTTGTTTTTTTTTTTCTTTTTATCCAGTAACATATAATTTCTAATTTGTTTTATACTTTTTGCATTGAACATTGATACAGATTTTGGTACATCTAACATACACTAACTCCGTATTTTGTTCTTCAAGGCCTGCCAGAAGATATCATAGAGAGGGGAAAGGATCTTAAGAGTGTCACAGAGATTGTGCAGAATGGAAACCACTTTGTATTCACAGTGACTACAGGACCCAGAATTATACGTAACGAATTTACAGCAGGCCAAGAGGCTGAGTTGGAAGCAATAACAGGAGAGAACGTAAAGGTATAGAAATCACTTTTATCAGCAGAGTTGTAAATGTTCTGAGATCTAAAAATATGCTGTTAAATGCTTTAAAGTGACACTGTTACCCTGAGGTCCTTTGCAGGCTTTGGTGACATCTTTACTTGTGTTGCAACAGCTATGGAGAGAAAGGGAAGGTAGATATACATAAATGAAAATCTCCATCGTAGGACCTGCCATTTTTGTTGCAGCATTATCGATGCCGTACTTTGCACATCCGTGAGGGTATTACATAGAGGCCTATGGATAATCACAAAGCCAGACAGACTACTCCTTACAATGCACACGAAGATGTCCTATTCACACATCTATGAGAATAGACAATGCTGGACCGTGGAAATGTCTGCTATTGTCAAGTCTTGTCAGTTCCAAACTTTCTCTTATGATATCTTTTGATTGCATTGGAAATTCAATGAAATTACAACATAGTCAATATAATTTGTTTTAATAAATATTTTGAATTTATCAAATACTTAGAAGTGACAGGCCAGAGTCAACAACCAGCCTAACAAATGTTCAATCCAGATCACATACCACATACATAGTTACATGTATTCAGGCAGCAATAGAAAGTCACAGGTTTTCTACCTGAAATATTAGGGATTTATTTGTTAAGTTTGTTGGCCTCTTTTTCTTCCTGTTCTAGAATCCCTGTTAGCTTTCCTACTGAAGTTCCTTAGCCTGTCTTATAATTATATGGAGAAGGCAGGGTCAGCTATTACAATTAAAGATACTTATTTTCTCTAGAGGATTGTCATGTCCTCCATAAAGAGCTTTTTCGAATCCTTCTTAATGACAGCCAGTGACAACAACATACCTCCCTACTCTAGCCTCCACAGGAGCGGTGTAAAGAGGGGTGTAAAGAACAATTTAGTGACATAATCCTAACAAATGCTGACTAATATCTGGTAATCTCACACCAGCAAGGAAAGACTTGCGGTCATAGGCATGCGCAGCACACACCACAAGCACACGCCGCGTATGTATGTATATACACATATATATATACACGCACACACACATACATTGCTGTGTGTGTGTTGTGTGAGGGTGCTGTTAGTGTGATGTGTGTGTGAGGGTGCTGGTAGTGTGCTATGTGGGTGAGGGTGTTTGTGTGTGTGCGCTTGTGAGGGTGCTGTTAATGTACTGTGTGTGAGGGTGCTGTTTGTGTGTGAGGGTGCTGTTTGTGTGTGTGTGTGTGTGCGCTTGTGAGGGTGCTGTTAATGTACTGTGTGTGAGGGTGCTGTTTGTGTGTGAGGGTACTGGTAGTGTGCAGTGTGTGTTTGTTAGGGTCCTGTTAGTGTGCTGTGCGAGGGTGCTGTTTGTGTTTGTGAGGGTACTGTTAGTGTGCTGTGTGTGTGCTGTTTGTGTGCTGTATGTGTGTGTGTACTGTATGTATGTGTGTGTGTGCTGTATGTGTGCTGTATGTGTGTGTGTACTGTATGTTTGGGTGATTTGTGGGGGAGGAGGTGGGGGCAGATTAGTAAATATCCCCCCTCCCTTCTTACTTTATCTAGGTAGGGGGGACCGTGCTGCTACCTTCCCTGGTGGTCCTGTGGAGGTGGGGGCAGATTACTTAATATCCCACCTCCCTTATTACATTATTTAGGGAGAGGGGATCCTTTCTGCCATCCCTGGTGGTCCAGTGGAGAGTGAACTTTAGCCTGCGGGGCTAGAGTTCACTCTCGCGAGATCTGAATTAAACTGGGTTTATATATAGCAACCAAAAGCCCAGATATGTTCTGAGCTCTAGTTTGGTAGCAGCTTTGATTGTGATCAGTCCACTGGGAAACAGAGTCTTCATTGTATATACTATAGGTATTCTTTATTACACTGTAGGACAATTTATAACTTGGGATAATTCTCTCATTCATTTATTAATTGTTATGTTTTTTTGTTGCAGTCCGTGGTTAATGTTGATGGGAACAAGCTGTTAATGAACCTTAAAGGAATCATTGGCGTTTCCGAACTTGTTGGAGATACTCTCACTAATGTAAGTTTAGCTTTTATCTAGCACAATTGTAAGTCTCAAACAAGAATATTACATAGTTACCTAGGCTGAAAAGAGACACGTGTCCATCAAGTTCAGCCTTCATACAGACAATATGCATATCTCAAATTCAGCTGAGGCTTATCTTTTCTGTTCCATTTCTTCTCCTCTCAATACTAAAATCTATTTTTAATTATATCAACCATAGCTCACCCTATCTACATTGTTCCCTCATTACTTCAGACTGAGTCAACTGCTCCAACATGTTGTTTTAACAAGAATGCGGGACCGCACTATTAGCGTTATGGCACCATAACCACTACAATGAGCTGTAATAGTTATAGTGCTTAAGGTGCATATGTAATTCTGTATTAGCTTTATATAAAAAGATATATATTAAAAGAAACAATAGTTGTGTCTTTAATACCATAATAACAGCTACTTCTTGAGAACCAGATGAAAATAAAATGGAGAACGAAACCGTCTTCAACGCCTGCCGAGGTCTATGGTCTTTAATACTAAAGTTATATAGTCACAAATATAAATTCTCTTTATTTTCCAGACAATGACATTCCAGGACATTGTATTCAAGTCAGTCAGCAAGAGAGCTTGAAAGGAAAGGACATTTTTTATTAAGTAAAAGTATAAATAAAACTGGTTCATAAAGTATTTGCGTTGTTTGTTTATTTCAACGGAAACATAAATCAAGACAATAGAAACTTTATAGTAGATAAACCTGGAAGTTAATGGCAGCTGGCTACATTTAAAGATGGTGGAGCACTAGTCTCCAGACCCAGGACTGTACATTTAATTTAACTTCCACTTCTGACCTACTCCCCCAATGCAAAGCCAATTAATGACATCAAACATACTGTTAGAATATATTGAGGAACACTAAAGTATTACAAATTCAAACCTGTGTCATGTGACTGAGTTTTGCAAACAGATTTATATATATATATATATATATATATATATAAATAAAAAGGATAATTTAGGCACTCACCCTTGGATACATTCAATGTGTCTGCCTTAGGTGCTTCCAACGTCCAAATATATAAGTAAATCGATGAAATGGAGCACTCCAAAGGACTTCAGCAAAGTGTATTTATTGTAACAAAAAATTTACATGGTAGTGCAAATAATCTAAATCGACGTTTCGACCCCTCTTGAAAAAGACCCTGAGGGGTCGAAATGTCGACTTAGATTATTTGCACTACCATGTAAATTTTTTGTTGCAATAAATACACTTTGCTGAAGTCCTTTGGAGTGCTCCATTTCATCGATTTACTCATATATTGGAAGGCAAGGCCTGAAGTTGTGGGAGGGGCTATAGACCTATAAAAGGGACTCCCCCCTCTCCCTACTTACCTTTGTTGGTCAGACGAATAGCTCAAGGTCAGCATTTGCATGAGATCCACTTCCAGGTCATACAAGACGCCATTTTGGTTTCACCTTTGCTCCATGAGGTCTCCTACTCCAAGCTGTGTCCAGGAATCCTGCAGCAGGGATTTCCTTTAATCCAGTGGCTTTTCTCTCCGGTCAGCATCGCATTTGGTGTCTCAAGGACTCTCAAACCGTAAGTTGACCCACCTGTCGCTCCAGGATTAGTTCCCACGGCACTCAACACAGCACGGGACCTCACTTTACGGTTTCCTTTCGTTTTGCACGGTTATTTCGTTACCTTATACTCACCTAGCTGTTTATGTAAAATCTGTTGGTTAAAATCTGTTTTGGTTAAAAATCTGTTGGGTTAAAACTACAAACGACATCCAATTTTTCGCCTACACACTGACCCCTATCGGTCATTCGATGTACTACAGGCTTCTCAGATATTATTGCATTTCATGTACAAACCACTGCATTTGTGCCTACACACTGACCCCTATCGGTCATTCGGTGTACTACAGGTTTCTTAGACGTTTTTGCATTTCATGTACAAACCAATAAACCACTGCTCTTTCACTTACACACTGACCTCTACAGGTCATTCAGTGTACTACAGCCTTCTCAGATATTATTGCATTTCATGTACAAACCAACGAACCACTGCATTTTCATCTAGACACTGACCCCTCCCGGTCATTCGGTGTACTACAGGCATCTCGGACATTATTGCATTTCATCTACAAACCAACGAACCACTGCATTTGCGCCTACACACTGACCCCTATCGGTCATTCGGTGTACTACAGGCTTCTTAGACGTTTTTGCATTTCATGTACAAACCAATTAACCACTGCATTTTAACCTACACACTGACCCCTACCAGTCATTCAGTGTACTACAGGCTTCTCAGATATTATTGCATTTCATGTACAAACCAACGAACCACTGCATTTTCACCTAGACACTGACCCCTACCAGTCATTTGGTGTACTACAGGCATCTCAGACATTATTTCATTTCATGTACAAACCAACGAACCACTGCATTTGCGCCTACACACTGACCCCTATCGGTCGTTCGGTGTACTATAGGCTTCTTAGAAGTTTTGCATTTCATGTACAAACCACTGCATTTTCACTGCATTTTCACCAAGACACTGACCCCTACCAGTCATTTGGTGTAACTACAGGAATCTCAGACATTATTGCATTTCATGTACAAACCAACAAACCACTGCATTTGCACCTACACACTGACCCCTACCGGTCATTCGGTGTACTACAGGCTTCTCATACATTATTGCATTTCATGTACAAACCAACGAACCACGGCATTTTCGCCTACATGCTGAACCTTACTGGTCATTCAGTGTACTACAGGCTTCTCAGACTTTATTTCACTTCATAAGCAAACAAACTACAGCATTTTCACTTTTATACTGACTCCTATCTGACAAACGGTATACTACAGGCTTTTCAGACATACGGTTATTCCCCTCATAACATTCCCACTATAATTATAATTACACAATAACACTTCCTTACAAATCATGCTTACTATGATATAATCATTCCTGCATACCTGCCTTCATAGGCATTTAGTTACATTTACTGACAATACGCATACATTTACCCAAGAATGCACATACTATTTAAAGCACTATGCAGTTTTCCAGAGTCCAATACGGAATATTTGCACGCTTAAAATATAAGTCCTTCCAATTACGTATTTTCACATATTAGGTTATTCAGCTGCCAGTCATGGTTCACTACACTCATGTTTCGGGGTACAGTTGTGTTCCATATCACACATGATATAACACTCCCGACAAGTTAATTTCCTTCAAATAGGGGCATTACAAGCATACAATAAACACTGGGACAGAGCACTTTGCTCTATTAAACTCGCATAACACACATGGATATACGCTTTTAAATGTCTATATTCAATTTTCATACATTGTTTTACCCGTCCGGGATACAGGTATTAATAACCCTTACGACCAGTAAGGGTATCTAATCATACTACCAGGTACATACACCTGCTCATGTGGTATATACATAAATTTTCTGTTTCCCCCTGGGTATATCCTTAGCGTACTGGCAATTAGGGACTATAGGTTTCCAATAGATATTTTCCTTTCTTGGCATCTACTCCTGTCGTATAGTGGTCCCGCGAGGCCAACACCCCGCCTCAACGCTCGGAGGCAAACACCCATCGGGCCACTCGTGAGCTAGCCGCCTCGCATGGTATATAGAGAGGGCCTCACCTGTCACTCCCTTCCCCTTTTTTCTGGTTACAGTCACCGAGAGGCCAACATCCTGCCACTACGTTTGGTGGCCACAAAAATCCCCTCACGCCATTGCATAGATAGAGCCTCTCAAGCCACTTGGCAACTAGCAGGGCCTCACCTGTCACCAAACAAAGGATTAATTGTTTCGCCTTGCGGCTTTAGCTAGCAAGCCAGTACTAGCACACTGTGGGTTCATATAATAATGGCTATCTTCATATTTTTTAGTATGTATCAAGCAGGTGGTAAGGATTTCTCTCTACCTAACACTCCAGCTAGAGTCAACACACTTTCACTTGGAGATGTTGCTAGTCCCACAGGACAATTTTGTCCCAACACAGCGGACGATCACGTTTCAGGCTCCAGGCTCTAGCACCTCTGGTAGGACGTAGCGAACTACCCGAGATAAATTGGGTCGTCTCATTCTCTTTGGCAAATCCCAGATTTGCAACAATTTCCATGTTGGCACATGTAGTTTCAGTGCATGCAGACTGTTGCAGATATGTTCCCAATATGTCAGGGCACATGCAAAAACCATGTGTCCCAATAAATGTACCCTGAACCTTACTTCTCGTCTGTAAACATTATGCATTTCCAGTACTTTCTAACTTATCACCCTTCCAGACATTTAGTTGATTTCCTAATCTCCGATTTTAAAGGCCTTCTGTTCAGGTATTGCCATATACTTTTGGGGAAATCTAGAATGCCCTAACTTGCAGTCATCACAGCAGCATCCAACAGCTGGCATTACACTCAGGGCCCAAGAAATGGCAGAAATATTTCTACCTGGGCCTCTCCGATCTACACCATTTACAGTGTGGCGCAATCCCATTGGGATTGTCACAGGGAATCTTCCCTCACACTGTAACTGATCATAGACTTATCTGCACCTCACGCCTCGGCTACCCCATAATCTCAACTCCCTCATACCCTCCGAGGAGTTTTCATTACAGTATGCCACCATTGTTCATACCATGACAACTATCACTCAAGCAGGGAGGGGAAGCCTGATATAAAACTGATATCACAAACGCATTTCAGACTGCCACCATCCACCCTGCACTGGCACTTACAGGGCATTTATGGGCAGCAGTTATATATTTCTTCTCCCGCTTAACTTTCGGGTCAAGAGCAGCCCACAATCTTCAATATATTCGTTGAACTCTTTACTGGTTGTGGTTAAACATATCCAGATGCCCCACAGTCATACACTCCCGAGATGATTTCTTGTTGGTCAAAGGGAATGCCTTTCCCTCTAGAAGCTTCATAGGAAGCCATTAGTATGTCTGAACACTTGGGTGTCCCAGTATTCCCTAAGGTCACAGAAGACCCAGACACTATGTTACATTCCTGGGCATACAACTTGACTCGGCATCCATACCAACAAGTTACCACGCGAGAAATAGGAACAGTCGCAACAACACCAATTACCACCTCCTGCTTGGTACTTGCAACCACATGGAACTACAATCCCTACCAGGTTCCTTAAATTTTGCCATGCACATCGTACCGCAGGCCACGCTTTCATCTCAGACCACTTTGCTTTTTCCTCCCTCCCGAATGATGATCAGGGGCTGTCCCTAGACAACCAAGCCATGGCAGACCTACACATATGGTGGACTTTCTTAACCACACGTAATGGTAAATTATTGTGGCAGCTGCCGTGACAGCCACCATGGCAGGGGGTCATTTATGGTCATGGATTACATGAACCTCGCCAACATAGCCGGGCTCTGACTAAACTGGCCTTGTCCACCAGCACTCAACACGCTTGCTACAGGGTTTTCCACTTATACTATACGTTTCATGTCGGACCATCACTTAGCTGGTTTGAGGTTTCACCACGTATGGCCTTCGCCTTTTTTTTGCCACCTTAAGTTAATAATTCTCGCACAACAAGGTTAAACTTTATCTCACGGGCATTCAACACTATACGTATTTCTCCATCCCAAACAACAAGGCTTCCTATCCTCCTACCCCATACATACCT